TAACTTCGCCTATGTTCCGTGCTTCATTTTCGTTGATTTGTGTTGTTCGCATTTTATTTTGCGTTTTTCAACTTTTACAGATATCTTGACAGATAACTGGACTATCGCATCGATTCTACCGACTGATTATCAAGTTAGTTTTGCAGGTTATTCTCCCTTACCATCCCAGTAACCCATTCAACTCCTAAACTCGCTCCCTAGCTAATAGCATCTGTCCAAAAAAAACACTCAGTCGTTGATTTATTTGCTCTGTTTTAAAAGCAATTCTGACGAGCGCATGTATTTGTACAGTAGGTTTCATTTCATCTTCATAGAATGCGGAATGAATGAGATTGGCTATTATTATCATTATTCGTAAATCAATCTTTTTACCATACAATCACCATTATATCAATGATGAGTTATCTTCGTTTCTCAGGTGCTTCATCTGCTGATCGAATTCATAATGAATGAATGTTATATCAAACTCAAGAAGTTGATGTTCAATCATTAATAACGTTATTGCTTAGCTGCTACATTAACGGCAGTTCATTCATTGTTATCTTTCCGTATTTAATTCATTTTCTTTCATTCGTTCTCCACTCTCACTCAAAAGAATTTAGTGGATGTTCTACGGTTACATTTCTTTATTTGATTATTTGGTGAGTGACAACAAAATAGCAATTATGATAGCATTAATATTCGTGGAGATTGGGAATGTTGCTAATGAAGTTAATGATTGTGCGATATTAGTTACGTTCAGAAAATTTCCCTCANTCAGTATTATAATAATGCCATATTAACGGTGATCCATCAGTTTCTCTCTATGGCAAGCAATCGCACAGATGTTTACACACACATCCATTGCAAATTCCCTTCCCTTTGCCATAATCAGTGACGCAGTGCATTCAGTGAATAATAGTTGATCGCAAAACGTCTAATCAATGATCAGTTGCCAATGCCAATGATTTCGAACTACATTGCATTAGCGCTTTGACCAGCAGGTTTGCCGTTTTCAAATCGTAAGAGAGCGCGAAAATTTTCGGCGTTGCGTTTGATAAAATGCTGATCATGCACAATAGTACTATTCGTTTTAGTGATAGAGATGATTTTATCAATTATTTCAAGCGGAATATTCACCTGGTATCCGTACCTTGCGAATAACCATCGTTTTAATGCTTCGTGTAGATTTTATGATTTGTTGAAACGTTCATGTGATTGAAAATATGCGTGGATTTCGAAGCTTATGAAAATTATTTATGCAAATTTTTTATCGGTTTAGATTTTTCAGATTTTCTCTGGCGATTCTATTTTCATATGCAAATTATTTACTCATTTATATTTCAATAAAATATTTTGATGGATTTGAATATCTGTCAAGATCATGTGTGCATGTATAATGCTGTAAATTTTATTCCAAAATATAGCGCATTGCTGAGAATTTTTTTGTCGTTGAGTGGCCATTTGAATTTGGCTTTGAAATTCTATTCATATGCCCTATGTTCATTGGGTTTGTAAGCCATTAATATTGAATATGGGCGAAAGGTTATGAATTAATCGNCCAAATCGCATTGATAAACTAATCGAGCGATTCGAGCAGAACGTTCGTCGCAAACACACCATCATGGATGAAACGCAGGTAACACAGCTGTTGGTTTCATTTTTAAGTTGGTTAAAATATCGGATATACCAGCAATTTTTCGAATAGATCCATTAGTATCTATTGTTTCAAGAGTGTTCTATATTGAGAGGGTTCACTTTAAGGGTATCCTGGAGCGTGCACGTCAACGAGAAGCAGAATTGGGCAAAGAGAACAGCTTTACGTCAGATTTACAGGGTAGGCAATCGATTATTGGAAATCCTTTTCTGAGGGCTTCAAAACAATTGTTTTGTTCTGAGTGTGTGAAAAATGAACGATGGTCTTTAGCAAGAAATTTTGTAATCAATGAGAATCGACGTGGTGAAGTAATTAAAGGAGTTGGTAAAATTTCTTTCTGCAGCGATATTGTTTTTGAATTTGTTGTTAGACCTTCAGAATTATTCAAGAGATTCTTCAGATGATTCGGTGAATACCGCTGTTGGTGACACAGATTCCGAACCACAGTCGAACGTTGGAGCTAAAGGGGATGCAGCCGAGAAACCACGACGATCATCACTGTACCCAAGTGAAGAACTGGAGGAAATGCGCCGTGATGCTCTCAAGGAAACCAACAATAATGTGGGTTTTCTCAGAAATACGATTACCAAATGTGAAATGTTTTGATTTCCCAAAATTTTACATTCAGACAATTCATTTCTTAAGTTTAATCGCATTGTATTCAGCTGAACATTGATGCAAACAAGTCGTCAGATCAATCATCTCCTCAGCACTTCACAAAAAACGCAATGCGATCACGTTTCGCGGCTCTATCAGCAGAATTGAACAATTTCGAATGTGAAGAAAAACCAGCTTCAACTCGATCCAAAGAATCTTACGTGAAAGGCGTATCGCCTCGTCTCAGCATTGGAGAGGTGGTTTGTTCAATCAGTCCAAGTTTCTATGGTTTACTTGTTCGGCTTTAGCTGAGACCGCTTTTCTGCATCCATCCTAATGCTTCTTACTGTTCCATGCTCGAAAATTTCCATTCGAAATTTTCATTCGTGACTCCGGCTTTGAATGTTCTTCAGATCCGTCCAACTGCTTTATTCACTCCAACTGCAAGTTATTATCCGACAGCTAAGGACTCCAAGCAGTCCTCGCCACACATCATCACAAAAGCAGTTATAAGATTAGACTCTGTTGCTGAGGCGTTAACAGAGAAACAAGTTGAAAATGCGGCGACAGAACGCAGTACACAGATCATCGATGCCACTCAGCTGAGAATCATGTCGAAATCATCTCCGCAAAAAGCAGTTTCACAATTCATCAGAACAGATGAAAAGCAGATCAGATTCGCATCTCCAGTTTGCCAAATTAAATCCTACACGAAAACTGTACGTTCCCCTTGCTGTTTTCCCTGATCGCTTGCTTATAATGAGCTTTTTCTGCCGTAAATATCCAAATTCATTGTCAACTTGAACGTGTTTCGTGGCTGATTGATCAGACTCCATAGCGCACTGAATTCGTATTTTTAGTGCGCCTCATCAAAGCGTTCATCATGTGATTCGCACGAAGAAGATTGGTCGCAATCAGTGATCAGTCAAGACAAACAACAAGGGGAACAATCTTCGGAGTCGCCAGGACATGAAATCGTTAAGCGTGAAAGCCAAGAATATGGAATACACAACTTCTTCAAGGTGGAATGCTTTGGGAAATGAGTTTGTCTCAATCCAAATCGCTTTTTTTGTTATAACAACTTGAAATTCATTTTAATTCCAAATCATTTCAATCGTTCTTCCAGTTCGAATGTTTTTATAAAACTTTTAATTGCAGCGTAAAACACCACCCGAGATACAAACTCAAACCACCGATAAAAACGTATGTTTGGTAGTTTTGAGTTTTGAAATTTTTCATCTAGTTCCAATGAAATTTGTCTCTTTACATAACCGATGTTGTGAATAGTCAAACTTAGGTCTGAGAAAAAAGTTTCGATTCTCTTGCGAGAAGAATGTTCAGTATTCATTTGCGTGCTATGTGATAAATAGTTATCATGTATTTTATTCATGTAGCATGTTCAACATGAATGAATATCGAGATAGAAAAGGATCTGTGATCAGTTGTGTTTTCTCCAGTATGGAATGGAACATGAGCAAAGAAGTGATTCAAGTAATGAAGAGCAGCAACAGCAACAGTACAAGTCGTTTGTTTCGGCAACAAAACACAGCGATTTGGTTGATG